ATCTTTACTTTTCGTTAGGGTAACGACGCACATAGGTGGAAGATCTAGGATTTGAGGTGAGGAGATTTTTTTAAAGTATTTTTATTTTTTACTTATTTTAGTTGTGTTAATTTAATTTTTATGTAAAGTTGTTTCCTCAAAAATCCTCTGGTGGCCTCGCACGTGTGAAATCTGGATGCGAGCGTGCCACTTACTTTGCTGAAAGTAAGAAAGGAGGACTTTCCCAACGACCCTCTCCTTCCTCACGGTTGACCTCTTTGCAGATGGCGGGAAGAACGTTGGATTAAAATTGAAATTGCGCCTTCAGACGATTTGCAAGAGGGAGGGATACCTTCCTGCAGAATGGGTTACGAAATCTGTCTTGGACAACTCCAAGGACTTAAACACTACCGTGACTTAAAATTATCAAATCCTAATTATTCTAAATTACCTACAATTTAAAGTAAATTTGCGAGAAAAAGCTATACCCAAACTAAACTAAACATGTTCATTGTTGAATTAAAATGCAATGTACTGGCAGATCTGGAAATTAACATGCTGCAGAATTAAAGATTTCATCTTAATTAACAGTAAAAATTAACGTGAACAGTAATTAAACTACCATGCTTGAAGTTGAAAAGAGGTATGAACACTACATAAGTAATCATTGAATAAAATGCTACTTATCATAAACATTAAATTAATTGCGAATGAAAAGAGAACAATACCTTGCATAAACTTGAAAGATTGAAGTTCATTGCATGAAAGGAAATTGTTGAACTGAATACATGAATTAATTTGCCTACTGGAATGATGAAAAACAACCTAATTCTAATGGAATCTGTGCTGAAATCCGAAATCTGGAAGCATGTGCAGAGAAAATCAAAGTATGAAAATTTGCAGATGTTTGAGTAAGGCTGGCCGTGCTTTTTCCTTTCAAAAATTTCCTTTTTGTTCTTCTTGTGCAGGTAGTTACTTCCACTTTCTGCAATTACTCAATCATGGGTGGTTTTTTGAAGTAGTGGGACACCTCACCTTTTGACCTAGTCAAATCCCCTTACAGATTTCGCCACCTGGACTCTTATCAGATAAAACCCCCTTTTTAACTGCAATCTTCTCCTATTTTCCAGCTGCCATTATCCCTTTCTGTTTCAAGAAGATAATTACTCCACAAAAAATTATCTTTACCTCTCCTATCTTGCTAACACATGTGCTGATCTATCATGGGGCCCAGAATCCGAATCTGACATGGATCAAACTCCTCCAACCAATAAAAAATACTTTACACATGGCATTAATTTAAAATTTTACAATTTATGGTGTAAACAAAAGTTTAATTTAATGATTTTATATAATAAATATATAAAAATTTAAAATATTTTTTTCATTAATCATAATAC